CAATTGGGTTTATTTAGGCCTGTCCATCAAGACCGGTCCGGCCCGTCATAAAATCTAAATTAGATAATAGTGTTCCAATACTTTATTCTAGTGTTTTGCAATGGCGTACCCCAGGTTTTTAAACTTTTTTATTTTTTTTAAATCTCTTTAAAATTTAAAATATACTAAAAAATTACAGAAAATGCTAATAAAAAACAATAATATTATTAATAACTTGAAATGACATAAATTACATATACAAAAAATTATAAAAATAAAAGATGATAAAAATAACTTCTTTATTAATAATCAGTAAATCCTTTACAAGTATAAATTTATTTCAGAATTCGTCGCATCACAATTGGCACCTACTCACCTATATCACTATCATTTGTAACTGTTTCCAAAATAATTTATATATTACGAATTTAAAACTAAGAAATAAAAATTACAATTTGATGAATATTGTTTAATCTTTATATCTATTTGCTAGTCCCTACTCTTCAAATTTATCTTCAATTTCAGCCATCCGATCGATGCCTTGTGTTTGCTTCTCGTACATCCACTAATCTTGTAAGTACATCACCGCTTGTACAATATACAGATCTAAGCATGTCTTGTGATTGTCGATCAAACGTTCTATTATGCTGAAGGCGGATTCTGAAGCTACCATCGAAACCTGCATTGTTAGTAATTAAGTCACGAACCATGATGGAAAGTATAGGATATGAAACTGATCCATATACTCTCCACCATTACAAAATAGCTAAAGCAATTCCTTAACATTTAACTAAAGAAGTAGATAAATATTCATCTATTTCAGAAACCTCTAATGATGATCTAAGTACAGATCCACCAGTTAGCTCAGCTACCATTATATACCTATCAAAACTTATAATTTTACCTCGGCCTGAGCTCGAAGGCGCCGAAGTTTTAGACTGTTGTGCAGCTACACCATGTCTAGCTGCATACTCATCATATAAGGTTTAAAAATAATTTCTAATAGCTAAATAAGATAGCAATAAGGGTGAATCCATCATCTAAGTCTATAATCTGTCCATCATACAAGATTGTAACAAACTTCGAAGACCAATATCCTTCAAACATGGATCAATAAGAACCTCTAAACCAAAAATATGAGGAATATGCCTAAAATACTTATTAAATTTGCTCTTCGTTTGAAAAATTATAGCTCCAAAAGTATCATTCATACGATATTTGTTAAAAAAAATTTGAATATTTAAAATTTGTAAAGCAGCTAAGGTAATAGTTGGATAATAACAACCAGATAATAACATTGTAGCTTAATTAAAGCTTGTAACATCTCATTTAGATTACATATAATTATCCATTCATTTTTAGTTATTCCATAAGTGCTAGAACTAGAAGCATAATAATTTATAAAATCATTTATAATTTTTTTATATTCTATTGTCACACTTAACATTGCATATGTGGAATTACACCTATGGTCAATATATTTTAGAATTAGTTTGGGCTTATAATTTTTTCTTTTGCAAAATTGTTTCCATCTTTTAATTCTTTGTTTAGAAGTATTATGCACATCATCAACTGTTCTAAACTTTTCTATCATGGGTTTAATTTTAGTAAATGCACTCTGAATAATTAAATTTAAAATATAACAGATACATCTAATATGAAAAAAATCACCATGACATGGCAATGACAGAGTTGTTTTGATAAAATCGACAACTACATTGTTATTACTTGCATTATCCAGTGAAAGAGAAAATATTCTTTGATCAATTTCTAGTTTCATAAGTTATTCAATTATTAAATTTATAATATTAATATCAGTATGTGACTTTTCAATTGTAATAAAAGAAACAACTCTTTTAAACATTTGCCAATTTTTATTAATCCAGTGTGTTGTGATACATAAATAACCAATTTATGCTCTAGATGTCTAAATATCAGAAGTTAAAGAAAATTTACAGTTTAAAATTTTAAAATAAGAAATATTTTTTTCTTGTTCCTTCTGATAATTTTTTAAAATATCACGTTGACAGGTTTGACGAGAAAATTTTGTAAATACGGGATAAAAACCATCTCTAAACTATCACGTTGACAGGTTTGACGAGAAAATTTTGTAAATACGGGATAAAAACCATCTCTAAACATATCTTCAAATTCATCATCGAGAAAATTTTGTAAATACGGGATAAAAACCATCTCTAAACATATCTTCAAATTCATCATCTTCTACTAGTTTAAAATGAAGGTTTTTAAGAATGATAAACATGATTACTCATTTCCTGGCTCGGGCAGCGTCATAATTCCAACTACCGAGACTACCAGAAGAGGAGGATTGGGAAATCATAGATTGTCGGATATCACCTTGAGGATTCTAGCTTTTATTGTGTTTTTTCTATATGGTGTTTGAGGTGGTTGGTGCCGCTCTTATGATGAGCTTGGAAAGTCTGGCCGCACAATACACATTTAGCCTTCTGGGTAAGGATCCTACCGTGTTCATCATTGGTGACGTCTATCTTCTTAAAAAATTTCACACATCAGATCTCGGCCTTTTAGGAGCTCTTGGTGCAGATTTGTCGCCACCGGATTCAGGATTAACACCGGTAGGATTGGTAGGAGTAGCTGTTGTAGGAGGACTCATTTTAAGATTGGTAGGAGATAGGTTTTGCTCTTCATAATCAGATTCAGAAGTCATTTGAGAGAATGATTAGAAAATATAATAGATTATTAGAGAGTATAAGATTGTATAAGAGAGTATTAGAGAGAAGTAGATGAGTTTTGATGTGAGGAGAAGAAGTGAAAACCCCCGTCTATTTATAGAGGCAGTCTCATAGTCAAATGACCAAAAAACCTTCACAAAATAGCTGTTTTTGACCGTTTTTAGGGGCAAAACTATGAAAATGGCCATTATGACCGTTTTGATCAGGCCTGCCTTTTCGCCAAACGGTCACCTCTAGTGACCATTGGGGCNCCGGCCTGGCCCGGACTTTGCTCGCAATGGTCATCCTGGATGACCGTTGCGGCCGGGCCGGGCTCCGGGACCGGGTCGCCCGACCCGGTTTTCTATGCCCGATCGGCACTGTACTGGGACGGGCTTTTTGGACAACCCTAGGTTTACTGATATTCCTTGCTTTTCATTATGTATTGGTCCCTTAAATCTTTAAGGAGTATGTTGTTTATTGAGGGACCAACTGCAAGCCCCTTGGAATTGGAAAGATTTTTGAGCAACTTCATATTTGTGAGGCCAATATGGAATTATTGAATATATATGAAAACTCTTTCTTCGTTAGGTGTTTAATGCTTACTAGTATGGTGCACGTGCGTTGCACGTAGATAACTAATACTCATTAGGTAGCACGCAGTGATAAGTAATAATAAAAACTATCAAACTAACAATTTAATAAAACTAATAGAAATAATATTTCTGTTAGAATAAATAATTTACAATAATAATGTTCATTTATTCAATTAACAGATTATATTTATTAACATTAATTATTATAATTTATTATATCTAATTTAGTAATATTTTACAAATATTAGATTTATATAAAATAATAAACAATAATTTATTAGATAATTAAAATGATAAAATATTTTAATATAGACTAAATTAATATTTATTTAATTTCAATTCTTAAAATTAAAGCATAAATTTTCATGGAAGTATCAAACTATCATAATCATCATTTTTAACAAAAAATCTGTAAAAATCTTGAAAGCTCCTCGATATTAAAAGAAGTAAAAGTGATCAACAGAATTCCTAGTCAAATTAAAAGAATAAAAAAGAAGAAAGCAATAGCTCTCTCACCTAATTGCAAGAACTTCAACTTTAGACCTCCTAGTTTCTATACTTTACCTTTATGTTAAGCGTTTTGGGCGTCGGTGGTCTTATGATGGCTTGTGGTCTTTTAATTAATTTAGGATTTAATGTTAGATGTAAGTAGATATGTAAAGTGTTATAAAAGTAATAGTTTTTCTCATGTACTCCTACTTAAGTATGTATATTAACTTGGTAAGAGATATAGATCAAAAACCACCAGTTAGTTAGCACATACAATCTGACGCTCTTAGCTTTTGAATACAATCAATCCCCCCCTCTCATTAGGCTAAATAACTACAGTAAAGTCACTCAGCTTCTGAATCCGATGCTCTCAGCTTTTAGAATTTTCGTTGGAGAAATTTGATAAGACTCTATAGTAATTTATAGTGATTTATGGAAGAGGAATAATTGTAACGTTTATTATTATTAGTGTGTAGTATAAATACTTAGTGGGGAGTGTTATTAGTGGGTGGTTAAATAAAATTTTAATGGTAATAAATAGGGAGGTTATGAAAAATTAAGTATGTATATATCTTAATGTATGCATGTATGGATGTGCTAGAGATGTATGCATGTATGTGGTATGTACAAATGTGTTTGATTTAAAGGATTTAAAGAAGTATGACTTATGTATGCATGCATGTATTTTGTGTGTGCATGTATGTATGTTGGAGGGCATTTTTGGAAGAAATGTTTTAACATGGCAACACACTTTTATAATAGTATTAGATTAGATTAGATTAGATAACAAGACACGTCTAAGATCTCATAATTAACTTTATCAATAAATCCAGATAAAATTGACGACATGAATATACCTCACTTCAACAATGCGACTTTATTCCATATATTTGTAATTTGGGGGGGGTGGGGGGTGGTGTTAGAGAAGATCCATTTAACTTTTAGATTTTATTAGAAAACATCCTAATTGCATTAGCCGCAATTTTCGTATGGATAAGTAAGGTTATGCACGAGGACATTTCATTTTTACTGATGGAAATTATGGTTCAATGCTTTTAAGGGGGTTCCCTGGAAAATGTTAAAGGTAAAGGTTTTTTTTAAAATTTTTAACCCCTAAACTTAAAGGGAAGTTTCTTAATAATATTCCAAATGTCATGGGGGTTTATCGTTTAATTGTCCAAAGATGAAGGAGGTTAAACGAAGTTTAGTATGTACTCGCCATTTCTCCGCTGACATTATCATTCCCTTAGAATATAATAATCATAAAATCGAATCTGTGTAGTTTATTCTCCATGATCCCAAATCTTCTTCCCTCTCGATATTTCTCTCTTCAAAAACCCTAGTCAAGATAACTAGAAATCAGAGATAATGAGCATAGAGCCTTTCAACAGGTGGATTCACTCTCGTCAAGATTCTTTGCCTTCGATCTCACCTCTTTAATGGCTTCAATGAGAAATCTAGGGTTTTCATTTTCCTTGTGGCAGGTTGGTGAGGCTCGCTGCTCGAGCTTTTTACGATGACATCACGATGAAGGGCGATAATCAGCCGAAGACGGGTAGAGGGGACAACAGAGGGATGGCCGTCGTCGTCCTCGATGCTCTCACTCGGTATAAAGATTAAACCTTTAAGTGAAAGATTTTCATTATCTGTGAAAATTACTATCCGTGACTGAATGTTTGGCTGAAATTGAGTTTCTTGTACTGAAATTTAGTTGAATTTAGGTCTCTGAGCTACTTTGGAGATTTCAGCTTGAAAACTCATGAGTGTGGAGACTGAATGACTATGTTGCTGTGCCAAGAAAGCATAGTGTTGAGTATGTGCATATTGTTTTGCCTGTTAACAAAAAGGAATATTCTTGAGGCAACCAAAATGTTTCTTTAGCTAATTCTAGCAGATATGGTTCAAATTGATTATGCAAGCAACTTTGTTCGTCTAGTCTTTGAAGAAACCTAGATATGTGGGTTTTTTTCTTTTCTAGAATGTCTAATCACTCTGGTGGAGGCTGCGTAGAAATGTTACTTATATGTAACTTCTTAAAAGTGCTATTTAAAGAAAGAACATTAGTGATAGTGAAAGCTGCTTACGTTTTGGCAGAAGGATATATCTAATATAAGAGCACATCCCTCGGCTGCATTAGAACTTCAAAATTCTGACGCTGAGATTGGACTTTAAGATGGCACTAGAGTTACCTTGTTCAAATCATAAAAAAAAAATTCTGAAGTCTAGGTTCTAGTCTAGAAAGAGATGGTGAACAATTATCTATCAACCATCTCCATTACTTAAGATGCTAAAGCATACTTGAACTGCTTATTTTCTAGCAACAATTATAGTTCACCAGTCTCGTTTCTTGCTCTTTAAGGCTTCATTTTGTGCCTGAGCATCTCTATTACTTTCCATGTTACATTTAATGCGATGACTTATTTAATGTGATGATTTTTTGGATTGAGCAATACATTGCATATCATTGAAGCATTTTTGTAAGAAAAAGGGAAAAAATCTCATTTTTTTATAGCTTATAATCTCAGGCGTCAATGGGTCAGAGAGGAAGATCTAGCCAAGGCTTTGAAGTTACATTCAAAACAACTTCGTCGTACTTTAAGATTTTTTGAAGAAGAGAAACTAGTAACCAGAGATCATCGAAAAGAGGTCAGTTAAAGCATTGAAGTGTAATGCTGCTAGTCAAATCTACATAGAAAATTTCTTGCTTATTCTCACTTTGGATTTTCACATATAGCTGTTTTATATAACTTATGTTTTGTCTGTTGTCACATTTGAGTCTTCATTTGGGGTACTCTTAGATTCAAAATAGTGGAGATGATGAGAGAGATGTCATGCAATTCTAGGCTCCTTTCTCTTTTTTCTTTCCCTGTATCTACTCTCTCTCTCTCCCTCTCCCTCTCTCTCTCTCTTTTAAAGATAGTCAGATTCTGCAAAGCATTTTCTAATAAAATTTTGCATTTAAAATGCTTTTCTATCAATTCTTTTTGTGATGCACATGAATCATGTTTATCATGATGACGAACACATGTTTAGTTTGTTTCTTTAGTATACTTGTTAATGTTATATACGCTAAGGAGCAAGGGTGCCATTTCGAACAATAGAAATCAGTGTTTTCAAAGGTGCACGCCTCATTGCGCCTCATGCGATGCGGGACGGTGGCGAAGCACCCCGCATTTGATGCAGCAGCACCTTTTGCGCATCGCACACATCCTTACTTTGCGCAGGGTGCATGTAGTACATACCCTCATATAGTTTTCTTTGTCCCAAGTCTATATACCTTACCCCTAGTCTACTTCAATCAATTCTACCCTTCCAATTGACAATTTGCCAACACCCCTTCTTATTTAGAACCAGTTGCATCGTCTGCATTTATGATTATTTTTTATTTTAGTGAAATAGGCATCACCAAAATTTTTGATTATTAACAGTGTATTATAAAAGATAGCATGTATAAGTTGTTCAATCTTTGGAGATGTTTCACATTCCCGTTTTAATTATTTCCTACTTTATCCCTTTAACTAGAAGAAACAATCTCGGACGTCCCGTTATACGGATCAGTACATGTTGCTTATGTAACAAGAGCCTCGGATACACTTAGCGTGCTTTGAGCTAGATAATATGATCCAATTAAAGCATCTCTAAGCTCTGAGCTTTCAAAACTTGTCCTATACTCAAATGTTGTGTATTTTCATCGAAAATAACAACAAGAAACCATAGAAGGGGGAAAATTGATGAACGGCCTTCATATACTATTGCTATGTCAACCATGTCATGTCTAAATAATAGCTCTTGCTGCTTGGAATTCAAACACCCCAAAGGTACTAGTGGTGTCACTAGAGGCAGTTGAAGTGCTCTATGGCAGCTGGTGCCTGGTAGACATGAATATCATGCTCGATAGGTGGTATACACGCCAGAGCAATGTAATTTGGTATATCAGGTCCATTTTAGTTCTACCATTTCATAAAAGTATGTTTGCGACAATTCTCTGAAAGGTGGTTGATACAAACCTAAAATACGTGTTTAATGTTAGATATTCTCTCCTAGAAGAAACAATCACTCAAGGGTCAGAGAACTGTACGGAATCTCATGATTAGTTATCCGTTTGACATACTCCCTATGACTTGATCCATCTTCCAAGGTTATTATATCGTTATCCTTAACAAAATTGATGTAAACGAGATATAAAATGAACCAATTTGTAAAAGAACTTTTTGGTTTTCTCCTTGCCCTGCGGGGTTTTTTTTTTGAGTGAGGGGGGGGGGGGGGTGCTTATAAGTTGTGGCCAAGTGTAATAACTTCCTGCAAGCTGAAATATCTTTTTGTGGCCAATATTAGAAGTGATATGGGATCTGATGTCCTATTGGTAAAGCAACAGTGAATTTATTTTAGTTTAGTTTTTCTTGGTAGATTTTCTGTGTTATTTCTGGTTGCCTTTTCCTGTGATTTGTTTGGCATCCCAAGGCAGTTAAATTTTGCTATTCTTGTAAATTCATGCAAATGCTTACGTTTTGGTTGTTATGGTGCTGAATTTTGCTGTCTAAAATTTGAATGATCAAATTTGTCAATGTTCCAGAATTAATTAATTTCTTGAGTTACTTCTTCAATTGTATTCACATCTTTGTAGAGTGCCAAAGGTGCAAAGATATACAGTGCTGCAGTTGCTGCCACTGCTGATCAAAAGATAACTAAAGAGGGTGAAGAAAAAATGAAGATGCATACCCATTCCTATTGCTGTTTGGATTATGCCCAGGTCAATTTCTTATGTAATTTTGTATTAACTGCTTAAGTATGTATTTCTTAAAGTCTTCTTCCTTTTATTCTCTGTATTCTCATGGCTCTAGAGATGTTTATGTCTTTATGATGGCATTTAGATCTTGCTGCAGCGCAGGAGTATTTCATGAGCATCTAACCAAGAAAATATTATATAAACAAATGGTTTTTTACCTGTACATGGCAGTGCACTGTATGCTACAAGGAAGCACAACTTTTCTTCCTGTAAATGGCAGTGCGCTGTATGCTACAAGGAAGCACAAACTTTCCTTTTAAGAGAAGCTATACTTATCAGGGATGTCCGTGAATTTCTTTTTGATTCTTTATTTATTCCCTGTATTCAACTTTCTTTTGGTCATGGATTTATTTTGTACATCAATGCATTATTAAGAGTTTCTCAGTCACCTCTGACCTAGAGGTTTTCTTTCCATCAAGGCTCTATAAGGCGGACATGGTAGCATACTACCAGCTGGGAAACTAGCACGAAACATGTAAGGTTGTAAGCATTTCCTGAGAGGTGGAATGATTGAAGTTAAGAAAGAAGATAGTGCCATAGAGGGAGAAAGAAGAATAGACTGGAGTAGCACTGGAAACATGTGCAGATTATTGCATTCACCTTATTTATCAGTCATATGATAGCTGATGCATGAATAATTGTTTTTGTATGTTGACATTAGTAACTAGACATACTTCTTTACGTTACTTTCCAAAATTAGAATTGACAATGCTAGCGGCTAGGAAATGAATCTGAAGAAGGAAACGATCTTGAGAAAATCTTTATTTACTTTTATGAGAGGAGAAGATATTTAATTATGGACTTGTGATATCCACTTTGCAACTACATATTTTTGAGAATTTATGGGTTCCAAGTCGACAAAGAATCATCAGTGTGTAATACACTCATTTTACTTGGAAAAAGAGTAAAAATTTCCATCATTGCTGAGGAAGTGTTTGGATAGTACTTCAGAGATAGGTAGTCTTTGGATGCATAAATTGGTGTTGCAACTTGATTTCAACGGAAAACCTTAAAAAAAAGTTTGAGCACAAAGAATCATGAAAACCTGTTGTTGTATCACTATAATGGCCAAGTGTTAATCCTCCCCCAAGAGTTAACACGTCTCCCAAATTAACTAAACACCAGATCGGCCTCGCTCTATGCAAGATGACTCTTGTGACGTCAACACTCGACCTTCCCAAGAGGGGCCAAGTCGAAAGGCGTCCTTACTCAAATCCTGCTGTTAGGATCGACTCCATGCCTCTTCATTCTACAAGACCAGATTGAGAACTTTCGAGTTCAAGATGACCGAATAAAAGACGACATTTATCAACCCTCTTGCAAGGCCGAAATGAGAGGCGGTTTGTCCTCGAATTCCCCGCCGATAGTCGATCACTATCACATTAAATGAATGGTCGGAATCATCATTACTCCAGCTTCAAAAGTCTTAATGACTCATCGAACCCTGTTAGCACCATGCCTCCCTTATCATCATCACATTAGTCGCATAGGTGACTCATATTATCTGCAACCGACAACTGCAGAGTATTTGCCAAGTTGTCTGCTTAGATTAGACCATAGTTACACAATTGCACCCTGGATCTGCTATAAATAGGCGCACTATTTACTACAGGGAGGCAATGTTTTAAATATCGGATGTCGGGTTCATGTCGGATGGCTAAAATCCATATCGGATAGCGAAAATCGGGGATATATCGGGGGATATTGACTAAATATCGGATTGACATATCGGGTAGTGCGCATATGTATAATATCATGTCCTAAATGTAATCTAAGCATTCATAAATTCAATAATATCGGGTAGTGCGCATATGTATAATATCATGTCCTAAATGTAATCTAAGCATTCATAAATTCAATATCAACATACTTTATAAATTCTATAGACTAAACATATAAAAAGTAAATAATATATGGATTTGGGTTCATAAATTCTTTCTATCAGATTCATAAGGAACCCTTAAACATGAGAACGGGTCAAACGGGTTTGGGTATTTATCACTAAACCCAAACCCGATAACAAAAAACAGATCTTAAAAAAGTACCATATCGGTCGATTTTTCAAAGCTAAAAAATAGGCCGATATGCCCGATATGACCCTGATATTTCCGATTTGGCCCTGAAAACCGATATACGAGTTAAAAATGTCCATGTCGTGTCTGTCAAGCCCTCAAACCCATATGTCGGCCGACATGTCCGACATGTCGGCTGATATCTAAAACCTTGCAGGGAGGTAAGTACTCTTTTGCAAATAAACACACGCTATAATCATACTTTTTTCCTCTACTCAAGCTCACTACTGACTTGACCTTTGGAGGAACCACCGGAGATCCTAACTCCGACCCTCTCACGTGTTGTTTGTGTGCGGGACTGAATTCTCTGCTCTATAACCATGCTCTATAACTGACCATCGAAGAAGATCAAGGAACCCTATAACCGAACATAATCCGCACAAAGTTTTAAATGTCGGATGTCAGGTTCATATCGGATGGCTGAAATCCATATCGGATAGCGAAAATCGGGGATATATCGGGAGACAATGACTAAATATCGGATTGCCATATCGTGTAGTGCGCATATGTATAATATCATGTCCTAAATGTAATCTAAGCATTCATAAATTCAATATAAGCATACTTTATAAATTCTATAGACTAAACATATAAAAAAGTAAATAAGCATACTTTATAAATTCTATAGACTAAACATATAAAAAGTAAATAATATATGGATTTGGGTTCATAAATTCTTTCTATCGGGTTCATAAGAAACCCTTAAACTTGAGAACGGATCAAACGGGTTTGGGTATTTATCACTAAACCCAAACCCGATAACAAAAAATAGATCTTAAAAAAAAGTACCATATCAGCCGATTTTCAAAGCTAAAAAATAGATCGATATGCCCGATATAACCCTGATATTTTCGATTTGGCCCTGAAAACCGACATACGAGTTGAAAACGTCCATGTCGTGTCTTTCAAGCCCTCAAACCGATATGTCGGTCGGCATGTCGGACATGTCGGCCGACATTTAAAACCTTGAATCCGCACTAAAATTACCATTTTGATAACTGACATCAACACCTCTGTAAAGTCGGGCCACTTGAGATGGTCAATTCGTAATAGCCTAAGAACTTTGACCATGAAAGCACCCGTGACCCATTGACATATACGTTTATGATGATTCTCTTCTATTATGTTTGTACCAATTTATTTTTTGATTATCCATAAAGGAATCTTTTCTTTTATATTGAAGCTTATCAAATATTTTGCTACAGATATATGATGTTGTTAGGTACCGAATACACAGAATGAAGAAAAAGCTGAAGGATGAGCTAGACGACAGGAATACTGTCCAAGAATATGTATGCCCTAACTGTGGGAGGAGGTATTTTAATTTTCTATTTGTGAAGCTAAACTTCAATATATGTCTACTTATAAATAAATGTAGGACATTCTGTATGCTCAGATTTTCAGCTTTTGACGCACTTCAACTTGTGAGCCCAAATGACGAATATTTTCATTGTGAAAATTGCAATGGTGAACTTGTTGCTGTGAGTGATAAGCTTGCTGCTGAAGAAATGGGAGATGGGGATGAAAATGCGAGAAGGCGGCGGCAAGAAAAGATGAAGGACATGCTTCAGAAGATTGAGGTACAAGCATATAGTGCAACTTTTGTTTTAATTTGGTCTACCAATATGTGTCCTTGCTTTTATTTATTTATTTATGCAGATAAATCGAATTGCTGATCCTCTGTTAACCTAGGTCGTGAAGCCTGTATGCTTTATTACACCATGGTAGTTAATTATTTCTGCGGAACAAATAGTGACTGCTTATTTTCATGGCCTCATAATTAAAATCTGGGAAGCAACTAATGATTTGACCTTAATCCTACCATATCCAACTTACTAAAATTTTGGTTTCCAGGATATTTTTCATTTTACTGATGAACATGAGTTAAGCACCAGAGGTATGCAAAATATACAGGATAGGTATGCATATCCTGGACGGGGGGCTGTTGGGTCTCTACTGCAGGAGTCTTTTGGAAGTTTGTGTCGAAGGTTCCTGCCATTACCTCCTCCACCCTGCGTGCTTCATGGCACTTGAAGCATGCAAGTGTATTTTCTTTAAATCCGCTTTAAATTCTTGGCCGGTGCAATTTGAACGAGGTTGCTCTGATATCTGGCGTCCCAGCCAAAGCTCCCTGCCACGACACCTAAACTCCAAAGTTTGGGTGAGTGTTGAGGGTTATAATTTTGAATTGACACAATTAGCAATTAGAAATATTCTTCATGTTTCATAAAAACCTTTAACATATTCATCCAGATACAGTGATTTGTAACTTTGATCTTTTTCTTTTCAATATAAAGTATATAATTAGGATTTATGAGGAGCACATATGCTTAGGTAAGTTGGAAAGTGGTTCACACGGTCAGTGCAGGTGAGCAACAATGGTCAATTGTTGTATCAGCCAAAGCCACATAATATTTTCTGGCAGACTGGCACCCAAGGAGAAACCAACATGTCTGGGGCAATCCATTTTACATTATATATTTGATTTGATTTATTTTTATATTTGTCATCATCCTCTCTACATACTTGGGATATCCTTTTCTCCTAGCTTTCTGGATGTTATTGATGCATTGTTGATGCTGAGTAAATACCAAAATATTGGACTTTGGGAAAGAAAAAAAAGGAGGCCTTGGGAGAAAAAGATAGCAGTTCCTTGGGTTTCTTCCTATCTTGGGAGATATGGCCTGAACAATTTCACATGATTTTTTAAAAGTTTTAGACTTCTAATTTAAGTATGTGTATAAAGTTAAAAATGAGATGGTCTTGAGTAATAAATGGCCCAAACAATTTAACATAATCTACCTTATCAACAAGTATGGAACAATAATCAAACAATTATTTTATTAGTCGGTTAGTGTCATTAACATGGATGCTTTCTAAGCAGCTTAACATTTCACAGCCATCTGACTTTTGATATATGGAGCTTTAAACATTTTTAGATATGATGCCCTGCTGTCTGTGTGTTTGTGCAACTTCCTGTGTACAATTATATGAATGATTATGAATGGTTGTTTTGTGGCATAGATCAATTTCTGCTGTTAATTAACAAAGATGAAATGGTTGCAGGAGCAGCTGAAGCCTTTGACTTTGCAGCTTGCAAGAGTAAAAGATCTACCAATTCCTGAATTTGGAACTCTTCAAGCTTGGGAAGCTAGAGCAAATGCAGCTGCTCGTATCAGCGGTGATTCCAGTGCTAATGATTCCTCAAGATCTTCTCAAGCACAAGGATATGCTGGAACACCAATGCCTTTCCTTGGTGAAACCAAGGTATGCTTTCCTTAGGCTCTCCAAATTGCATGATTTCTTTTAAATCTAGACAGGTACTTGTTTTTAGTTTAAAGTTTGGAAGCATTTTATGTTATTATGGGAGAAGACAACTTTCCACTACTTGGTTTCATCCACTGACTGGCTTTAATGGTTGTACGACATTACTTGGTCATGTCAACTTAGACAAGTGCAAGAGGGAGGTTGGGGAGGCTTTTTTTGGTCAAACGAGCTTTAAGCAAGTTTTTTTATTTCTACCTATTTGGTAAAGTGCCAAATAAGTTAGCTTATAAGTCTCATTTTAAAAAACAAGTATACCCCAGCTTTTGAAAACTAGCTTATAAGCTCACTTTAAAAAGCTAGGTTTGACCAAGTAAATTACTATTCTGATCAAACAATTTTTATAGTGTTTTTATCAAAAAAGGCAAAAACCATTAAAAGCCAACATAATTTATAAGGTTAAAAAATAAGCCTTCCCAAACACCCACATAATCCACCCCATTTTGATCGCCATGTTTTAGGATCTATATAAATAAGCACTTTCATGACATAAGTCTATGCATGTTATCCAGGAGAGAGGGAGGGAGAGAGGAGGCTTAAAGAATTGTATTTTTCTGTGCGTTATGAGGTTACAATCAGTCTCATTCATTGGTGCTTGCTTTTTTAGTTTTAATAATATGATGGTTTGTGATGTTTATGCCAAGTCTTGTCTTATTTGCCATTTAATGACAATCTCATAAGTTCTTTCACCCAGACGCTTCGTATCATCAAATCATATAGTGAATAGTATGCATGATGTCAAACAATGATGCCTTTATTTGTATTTAGCTGAAACTTCTTTGTTCATTGTTGATAATCTGGATTGAGTCAATTTTACGTGCTTAAGGTACTTGTACATTACATATCAGTGGGAAAGTATGGAAGTTAGGAACATCAATGATTTTGTTTTCCATCATTTACAGCAGAATGGGCCGGAATACATTTAGTATTTGGTTTGCCTTTTGGACGAAATAATTAGACCCCTAACTTTGGCAGGTTGAAGTTGCTTTATCTGGTGTTGAAGCAATAGAAGAGAGGGCTGTGGCTGATACTAAACCTACATCCGTGAAAGTTCTACCTCCATGGATGATCAAACAAGGAATGAATCTGTCAAAGGAACAGCGTGGAGAAGTTAAGGCTGAGCTTAGCACTGATCAAATGTCACAACCTGATGATGAGAAGAAAGCAAAAGCTGAATCTGAAGACGAAAAGAGTTTCCAGGCTAGTGGAATAGTCTTTTCATAATTTTCATGAAATTCTGATATTGTATAGTTCATGTGATTTGAAGTTGTGCTATGATTTGAAATTCTATAGGATGAGTATGTCAAGGCTTACTACGCTGCTCTAGTGCAACGGCAGGAAGAACAAGCAGCAGCATCCAAGAGAGCACAGCAGGTAGAAAACAATGGCACATCTACTTCTTACCTCTCAAATGTTGTTTCTGAAACACCATCTGAGCGTCAAGTTGGCATGAAAGAAAAAAGAGAGGAGGATGATGATGTTGAATGGGAAGAAGCTCCTCCTGCAGGTAATCGACTAACTGTTGAACCACTCTTATTTAAATTATTTCTTGCTTGTCTTACAGTTAATGTCTGAGGTGCCTATTCCTGTGGAACGTGCAGTATGCATTTCTTAACACATGAGTTAAAACATGTTTTATCTAACCAGAGTTTTTAAGAATCTTTTGTGAACTATCTCATGAAGTGGCTTCTTTCACTACTTGCATATTCAATTTTATCTGTATACAATGTTTCTGGACTTCGTTCTCAGTAAATACTCTCCAATTGTTTAATCAGAGTTTACCGGTATGCTTTTCACAAATATTGGCTGCAAAATGATCTTGCAATTACCTTCAACTAGTATTTTACCCGTGCACAAATATTGGCTACAAAATGAACTTGCAGTTACCTTCAACTAGTATTTGACCAGTGCTAGGCACGGGCTAGTGTTACTCTGTGAATCATTGTAACTCTCTCTTGCAATAATCATTAATCAACCTGGTGTTGTAGATATTTTACTTAGAATTTTTTTAAATTGAAAGTACAAAAAAAAAAAACTGTACTTCATTGTTACACAACTTGTCTTTCAACACCCAATTAATATAGACTAGTTATATGCGTTATCATGATGCACATGGAAGTGGTGACTATAAATGACCGATATTTAAAGACTTCATACTGTCATATCCCTAATAGCAAATCAAAATGATACATAATCATATTGAAAGTTTCTTAAACATCATCCCGGACAAAGAAAAATAAAAGTAAAGGTAATTGAAGTATATGGGAATGGTTGTCCTACTTGTTCTCCTCCAGTGCCAAGAACCTCACTAATGCTCTATGTCTTTCCTTGTTCTCTAATTTCCTTTTGTCAGGTCCCCAAAAAACAACATGAGCATCTTGTTGGAGTTGTTTCATTGTCCATTTCATTGGCTATTTCCCTTGTGTAGAATTGATAGTAGAAATTCCCAAAACAATCTTTGATGCCTATCTAGGTATAGTGCAGACACAAACACGGACACAGATACAAACGCGGATATAGACACAGGAAACGACAAATTTGTAAAATGCAGGATACGGGGACACGGAAGTGCACACACATACAGTTATACATGCATGATAAAAAAATGAATGAAAATACCAATAACATATGTATGCTTCTTTCTATTATTAATAACAATTAAGAATCTAGTTAAATCAAACAAAGAATAAGATTTAACAACAAAAGTTTACTTTTGACTGGCACTGCATAGGATACTACGATGGGTGTTTTTCAAATATTCAAATAATGGGTTTCAGTTTTCGAAATTGGTTTTGAACCTGATACTACCAGATAAATTAGTTTGAACCTGATACTACCAGATAAATTAGTTTAGGGTATACGTAATGGCGAAATCAGGTTTTCTTTGAACCACATGTGCCTATGGTATGTTCGCGGAAAGTCGGTATCTGTCACGTGCAAGGTTTTAAATATCGGATATCGAAAAAATATCGAATGGCCAAAAATCATATTAGATTGCGGATATCGGGAAAGTATCGGGGATATGTGGTAAATATCGGAATGCCATAATGGATGTTTGCTTATATAGTATAATGCACTAAAACGTAACGTCAACATATTTAATAAAATCTAAGCATACAAAATGTAAATAATATATGTTTAAGATCACAAATCAACCTTGTAAAACAAACAAAAGTACAAATCAACGTTGCAACATTTGGTGTGATTTTTAGGACAAAATGTCATTTGATATAATGGGGAAATCATGATATCTCGCCCAAAAATGTCATTTGGTGTGATTTTTAGGACAAAATGACATTTGATATAATGGGGAAATCATGATATCTCGCCCAAAAATTACCAAACACAATATACTGTTTTGCGACAAGCCATATAAAAAGATATATCGGTCCACAAATCGGTTGATGTATTAGCGATATTAGGGATATATCGTCCAAAATAGCCAAAAAGCGGTTAAGGATATTTAGAGACCATATCGATTGCGGCAAGCCTTGTAAAAGGATATATCAGGGGATATATTGGCCCATGTTGGGGATATTTAAAGAAATGGTCACGTGTCGTCGTGTTTGTGTTACCTAGATGCATATCCATTCATGGGTGACTGCTTCAAGTTTCTCCTTTCCATCTTACTCAGTTTCGTCGTCATCTCCTAAAAGGTTTCATATTTGTCACTCTTCCTTTGGAATGTAAAAGATGTTGTAATTAGAAAATTAATTTTTAAGCAATATGTAATAATTATTAAACTTAGTTAACTTTTTTTCCTTTCAGATTTTCAATTGTCTAAATTTCTATACTTATTCTTGTTTGATTTTTGGAAGAAAACTCTTTGTTATTGAATCTTCTTCTCATCTTGTAAATTTTTGTCCTGTTATAAATCGAATTCAAAATTGTGGATGAGTAATGAACATGCATATAATTTCTATTATCATGAGGCCCAATGTTAATCGTTGTGCTTAAACCTTTAGAATATCATTCTTCTGTTGTAATTGGTCTAGCAAAAGCTCGACAAAAGGTTAAAAAAAAACCTTAGCATTCTTGTCCATTCCTAGGATGAGATCAGGTTTTAAAATTCGGATATCGGATAAATAGCGAATGGCCTAAATCCATATTGAATTGCAAATATTGGGGAAATATCAAGGACATACAGTCAGTGCTTTAAAAAGTGGCGCAATTGCGTTTGTGGCACCCTACTGCAATGATTTGACCATTAGTGGTCATGAAATACGTCTAGATCGCTTTTTGCTTGAAATTGTGCTAAAATGCATTTAAAAGCAGTTAAAAGCGGAAAGCACTTTTAATCACTTTTAGTTAATTGGGTTTTTTTTTAAAAACCTGACTCGAACACTAGCCAAACACGACCCAATTAACTAAAACTCTAACCCTACGACCCAATTAACTAAAACTCTAACCCTAACCCTAACTTAGACTTCACAACTCTCGATCTCGATCTCGATCTCCCTCTCTGCTTCTAGCCTCTCAAGTCTCAACCAGCCCCGCCGCCTCCCTCCACCATCTTTGCTTCCTCCTCTGCCTCCTTTCTTCAACATCGCTGCCTCCTACTGCTCTAAATCCTCATCTCCACCACCTCCTATCTCTCGTTTCTCTCCCTTAAATCATACTCTTCGAAGCTCAACGCCAACATCACCTCTTTTCTACTCTCCTTTCACCATCTCCTTTTGCCTTCACCCCTCAACGAGATTTCAATAGCCCTCAAGCTTTAGCCTTTCACCGCCAAATCAACCCTTTGTGGCAAGTCCTAGTAGCCCTCAAGCGTCAGCGGCCGAAATCAGTCCTCCACCTCTCGACTCTGCAGCATTTGCGTCAAGCTCAAGGCAATATCTCGAGCAAGCTTTTGTTTGCTATCTCCAGTGACTTTTTTTTTGAGATTTAAAGTTGATTTCATGTAGTTTAGTTAATTTTGTGCTAGTAAATCGAATAAATTGATTTTTATGTTGTTTTTTATGGAAAAGTTATTGTTTATTTACTTAAGATCAATGGAGCAATAGTCTTGAAATGGGCTTCATTTCAATGGCTCCTTGTAAACCCGTTAAAATTTGACATTGGACACTTTAGAGTAGGAGGAAAAGTTCTTGTCTATTTTCTTGAATTTGTCATTTTTTTGAATATTTATACATATTTAAACTAGACCGTCTTTTTGACTATGCTTTTTTTGCTGCTTTTTTATCGGTATAACCCCAAATAGCCTTGACGGTGCCTCACCGCTACGTGACTGCTATCCACTATCCACAATCTTCTATGTAGTAAATATCATATTGCCATATTAGATGATGTGCATATATAAAATGATGTTTTAAAATGTAACCTAAATATACTTAATGAAATCTAAGCATACAAAATGTAAATAATATATATTTAGGATTACTAACCAATTGTAGAAACTTATTTAGGGGAAAGGTCCTTCTAGAATTTTGCAAAAAAAAGAAAAAAAAAGGAAAAAAACTTCATAGGTTGGAACTTTTGCTAAAAAATAGTAAAGAAAGTTTGCAGAACTATATTGTTTTTCGACAAGTCATATAAAGGACATATTAGCTAACACATCGTCTGATATAGCCGATATAGCCGCTATGTTGGTGATTTATTGCTCAAAATTTGCCATAAAGCAGTAATGGTTATTGAGTTGAGGCCATATATCGTTTTGCGGCAAGCCTTATAAAAGGATATATCAGCTGTACCATAGTTATTTAAAATAAAGGATGAGAATGCAACATGGTCCTTGGATATGGTAGAAAATGACTTGTTTTAAAACCTAGAACTATATTGCTTTTCTACACCATGGAATGGTATTTTAGGCAGTTTTTTGTATGTCAAACATCCTGTTTTGCTCAGTACTCCACATGTTAATATGTTTTTGATGGCATGATGTACAGTGTTGCTTGGATGGTATAAACTGTCATTTTACATATCTTTTTTTGTTAAAAAATATGAGCCAGGTTATATGTAATGATAATGAAATAAATATCAACAATGTCGCTGCAGCAATATTAAAAGAACCTGATGATCCCTGTTTTTGTTACAGTTTACATAATAAGTGACAAGTTGACGTGTTTGGATGCATAAGATTCAGTATGCATGCTTTACACCTTGATAAACGAAGTCTTTTTGTTATATACATTTTTAGTTCGACGGTCATGTTCGTTTCTTTTTGACACAGATGTTTGTAAATTTTCGATATCTATTTCCTTAGCTATAGTGATTCTCAAAATTAACCATCTTTTATTAGTTACGAGTTGCAACATGTAAATCACTTTCTTGTAGATCTCAGTTTCTTAATTTTAATAAACAAATTTTGATATCATTAAGCTGTGTGGATTATGGGTATTCTAGAACTTTCCCAAGAATTATTTATTCACTGATTCCAAAATGCTCTTTGTAATACAGGTAAAGCCTTCAAGGTGGCGGACTTGAACATCCAAGCTGACTATGCCGATGCTTCTGGTGGTGATGATGATGATGGCATAGACTGGGAAGAAGGCTGACCCTTGAAAGGAAGATTGTAGGACATTTCAGCTTGGTTGCAGAAGTTATGGGGAAGAAGCTCCTAGTGTCAAGCTGCATGTGCTGTGAATATTTACCTATAATCTTGTAGGCCTAACTGTAGGCAATTGATCCAAAGATATTCTAAGGTAGACTGCTGTGCATAATATTCTCAGCATGAAATTGGTAAAGAATGTAATATAAGGTTTTAGCGAGGCTTGTGAGTCCCAACGTGTGAATGCGCGTTGAACGTAGATCGGAATGATGGGATTGCCGTTTAAAATCAAGAAATTGCTTGAATATTTTATTTAGTTAGCTGCAGCAGGTTGTAAACTCCTAATTATTAATTTCACGATATTAACCAGACATCTGTGGATTGGCGGCGCACGGGCTAGTGTTGGAGGTTGGCAAGCTGGATTAAAAGCAAATGCCGGTCTTTCTGAAAGAAAAACAAAAAGAATGACAATCACGTGAGGCATGGAGATCATGTTATATATTTAGCTTGTAAGGTTTCGTTCTCAAAATTTAGGGGACAATGCTTCTTGATCCAAAACTCCGTGCGTTCACCTCATACTTTTTCGCATTTCCTTCAAGCAAGCTCATCTTTCACCCCTCACCTTTCTCCCTACCCTTTTCCTCCTCCACCTATATATGCGCTCCCCCTCTCTCCCTCCACCCCACCCCAACCTTGCCCTGCTCTTATGTCGTCTCTTCCTCCATTGAAACCCATGAACTCAATTCTCATTAATCAATTATGATTTTAGTTTCCTTCCTTCCTCAATTATCTCTTCTTTCTTAGCCATTTCTCCTCCTCGTTCTTTCTCAACTGCCACCTCTCTCCAGAGTCACCTCCTACAGTAGTCAAGGATCAGTTGTCGATGCTAACGAATATACATTAGCTTAAGTTAACCAAATAACATCTAAAGTTAACAGATATCAGGTATTATTTTTTGTTAATTTCAGCTGTTAGTTGTTAGCTTTATTTGTTATTTGTTATCTTTAGATGTTATTTTGTTAACTTCAGTTGTTATTTGTTAATTTCAGCGTGACTTTGGTAGAGAACATCGTCAACATAGTGGAGACGGTGCCCCATGGAAGGAGGCGCGGTCAAAGAGGGCAGTGTAGAATTAGCAACACAGTTGAAAAGTTCAGGAAAACAGATGCAGAAAACAGTTTGGGTGATTGCTTGTCGATCGCGATACAACTGCGGTCGACCGGAAACGTGTATAAATTGCAGGGGGATTTTGGAGTTGGAGACGGTCGACCGCCGCGGTCGACCGTCAGGGACCCTGTAGGATTCTGGGTCTCTGGAATTGCTGACGATCGACCGTCGCGGTCGATCGCCAAACCTTGTAGTCGATTTTATGTTTCTCTCGATCTGGTCGGTCAACCGCAACGAGTTCTGCGGTCGACCGCCAGTCGGGTCTGAGTCTGGGTTTCGTTTTCTGACTCGTTTTGTTGTGTTGATATATAATCCTAAACACAATTATTAGGGTTAATTAAGGACGACTTTGAGCAGGTTTTGAGAGTGAATTGTGCATCATTTGAGGGAGAAGTTGTGAGAGATTTTGAGAGCTTTGTTCGAGGGTTTTTGTCAAGATTGTAAACCCTATTTGTATTCTCTTTATCTCTAATAGTAAAAACTCCCCCCTCATTGCCCCGTGGACGTAGGCAACTTGCCGAACCACGTAAAATTCGTTTGTCTTGTTGTAGTGATTGTGTTTTACTTATTGGTTGTGATCTACCTTGTTCTTGTTCGTGCTCGTTCGTGTGTTTCGAGTTCCGCTGTGCACAACAAGTGGTAACAAAGCTTCGGGTTTGGCTTGGGGCTTGTTTGGAGGATTCTCTGAAGAATTCTTATTTGAAGAGTTGGATCATCAACATGGGTGAAACAAACACATCTGGATCGTCCCTTACGAAGGCGATACATATTATGAGCATTAATAACACAAAGATTCATGTTCCGAAGTTCGATAGCAAGATTAATTTCGGATTGTGGAGATGCCATATGATGGATACGTTGGATGCACAAAATTTGGAGGAAACTCTTGAATTACAAGAGAAACCAGCTGATATGGAGGGCAATGTTTGGAAGAAGTTGAACAGTAGAGCATGTGGAGTTATTCTATCATGCTTGACGTCGGATTTGATTTATGATGTGATGAACGAGACGTCGACGAAGAGATTATGGGAAACACTCAATGAGAAGTATCTTACGAAGAGCATTGAGAATCGGCTTCACTTAAAGAAGAGATTTTACCAATTCAAGATGAAGAGGGGAGTTTCCATTAGGGAGCATGTCAATAACTTCACGAAGTTGCTTTCGGATATGACCAATGTGGACATCATGGTTAAGAATGAGGACAAGGCGATGTTGCTATTGTGTTCGTTACCGGAGGATGATTATGATACTTTTGTTCTCACTATGATCAATAGAAGAACTACAGTTAGCTACAAGGAGGTGACCTCAATATTGATGAATTATGAGTTAAGGAAGAGTGATGGCGAACCCTCTGAGAATGCATCGAGAGATGCATTAGCAGTTCGAGGTCGTAGTCCAAACCGCCGTCAGTTTAACCGTTCAAAGTCAAAGAATAGAGGTGGCCATAAGAGTGTTGGTAGAAATCAATGTGCCTTTTGTAAAGAAGAGGGACATTGAAAGAACGAATGCCCAAAGTTAAAGGATAAAGCCGGGAAGAATAAGGGGAAAGCTGTACAAGCTTCAGAGGTGAATGTTGCCAAAGCTGTTAGTGACAATTCATATTCAGATTCTTCGGGTTACTCATGCCCTGCATTACCGCCAGTTTTCTATACTGATTCTATGGAGTGGATGATGAATTTGGGAGCTACATATCACATTTGCCCTAGGAGGGATTGGTTCTCCAGGTTGAGGAGTTGGAAAGAGGGGATGTCGTGCTTATAGATAATGATCACATATGTCCTATTGGTGATATTGGTACAGTCCGGATCAGGATGTGTGATAGGGTGACTAGGGAGCTGAAGGAAGTGAGGTTCGTTCCACAACTGATGAAGAACATCATTTCTCTTGGGACTTTGGAGGCAGCAGACTATCGTGTGATCTTAGAGAATGCCACTTTAAAGGTCACAAAAGGATCTATGGTGGTGATGCGAGGTGTCAGGGAAATAACCTATATTACTTGAAGGGCAAAACAGTTACAGAGGGTCTGACAGCTACTATTACTACAGAGGAGGATACTATCAGCTTATAGCACGAGATTGAGACACACTGGTAATAAGTCCCTGCAGATATTGGCGAAACATGAGCTATTGAAAGGTGCAAAAACCTGCAAGATGGAGCTGTGTGAGCATTGTGTACTTGGGAAGAAGACTAAAGTGAAGTTTGGCACCGTAATTCACAACACTCAAGGTATATTAAATTATATTCACATAAATATTTGGGGCCCTTCCAAGCACATATCACTTGGTGAGGCTAACTATTTTATCACTTTTATTGATGACTATTCCAGGAGAAATTGGATATATATTATGAAGCATAAACATAAGGTCCTGGATATTTTTGTAGAGTGGAAGAAGAAAGTGAAGCTGAAGACAGGTAGAAAGGTGAAAACACTTCGTTCAGATAATGGAGAGTATAAGAGTGATCTATTTTTGTAGTTTTGCTGAGATCATGGTATTAGGTGACACTTCACAGTTCGAGAGACACCGCAACAAAAGGGGGGTGGCTGAGAGAATGAACCGTACTTTGCTGGAGAAGGTGCGATGTATGATGTCACATAGTGGATTGTCGAGATCCTTTTGGGCCGATGTATTGGTTTTTGTGAGCCATCTCGTGAATAGGTTGCCGTGTACTGTGATACATGGGAAGACTCCTATGGAGTAATGGTATGGTTCGGTGGCTAGTGAGTATGAGTTACTTCAGATATTCAAGTGTCCAACTTATTATCATATCAGTGATGGAAAATTAAATCCGAGGGTGAGGAAAGCAGTCTTTGTAGGCTTTAGAGAAGGAGTTAAAGATTTTAAATTGTAGGATCCACAGGACAAGAAGATAGTCATTAGTAGAGATGTCATATTTGATGAGGCATACATGATGAGGCCTCAAGTCCCTTAACAGGTGGAGGAAGACCAGATTAGTAGGATATCACGACAGGTGGAGGATGATGTGACTCCACCCACTCCAGATAATATTGTATCCATTGAGGCTTCTACAGAAGTGACACTGGGAGGAGATAGGATGACAGACGGGCATTTGGAGGATACAGTGGATGGTGAGACTCAAGAGCAGGGTCATGTTCAGGAGTTGATTGCAGCAAATAGACCTAGAAGGGTGATTCATCGGCCAGCTAGATACAATGATGTGTTGATTGCATATGCTTTATCAGTGGAGGTCGTTGATGATTTAGTTCCTTCTATGTATAGGGAGGTAGAGTCTAGCTCTGATTCGATCAGGTAAAGGGAAGCTATGGAGGAGGAGATGCACTCCCTTCAGAAGAACGATACTTAGAAACTTGCAAAGCTACCAAAGGGAAAGAAGGCTATTGGATGCAAGTGGGTATATACAAAAAAAGAGGGATCTTCTATTGGAGACATCTGGTAAAAATCCAAATTGGTTGCCAAGGAGTACGTCCAGCTTGAGGGCGTTGATTACAACGAGGTATTCTCACCCGTTGTGAAGCATTCGTCGATTAGGATTCTTTTAGCATTGGTGGCATAGCTGGATTTGGATTTTATCCAGATGGATGTTAAAATAACCTTTCTACATGGAGACTTAGAAGAGGAGATCTACATGACACAACCCATGGGGTTTAAAGCTGTAGAAAAAGAGGATTTGGTGTGCAGACTGAAAAAGTCTCTTTATGGATTGAAGCAATCGCCTCTTTACGGATTGAAGTAATCACCACGATAACGGTACAAGAGATTTGACAGTTTTATGATTGGCCAAGGATACACGAGGAGCCCATATGACCTATGTGTTTACATGCACAAGCTACAGAATGGTGAGTATATTTATTTATTGTTATATGTTAATGATATGCTTATTGCACATGAATTCTTTGGCTATTCGAAAGTTAAAAAATGAGCTATCATCTGAGTTTGAGATGAATATCTTGGAGAAGGTAAAAAGATATTGAGTATGGAGATCGAGAGAGACAGGGTGAAGGGGAGATTGAAGCTTACACAGAGGAGCTACTTGCAGAAGATGTTGAAGAAATTCAGATTTGATGGTAATGCTAAGGTAGTGAGCACTCCATTAGCTCCCAACTTTAAGCTTTCAGCTAAGATATCACTTGTTTCGGTTGAGGATAGAGAGTACATGTTTAAGGTTCTA